AGATGGTACCACTAACAGCTGTCGGCAACGGCTAGCCTCCCAAGTCCAAGATTTCAGAAATGATTTCAATGACGGCACTTTGATACTTTATGCATCGTTGCCTTGTGTTGGAGGTAGCCCATGGGGGAATGTGAATGGCCTTACTGTTGAGGGTCAAGAAAGAATCAAAGAGCAACAAAAACAGTTTACCAAGTTGTTCAAATCTTTTGTCAAACTTGTGGATGAAGTTTATGATGAACGAACCTTGATAGCATTTGAACTGTCCAAGAATTGCAAATATTGGAGATGGCCGATGGTTAGAAAATTCCTCATAGAACGATCCATGACTACTCATCACTTTGATGGTTGTATGTTGGGTGTTCTTGGAAACAACGGTCAACCAATGAAGAAAAGTTGGACTATTGCTGGAAACTTCAAAGAACTCGAAGTGTTAGACTCATTCAAATGTGATGGCAAACATGAGCATGATCCAAGTAGGGGCAAAGCTCTTAAACTTGCTGAGAACTATACCTTCAAGTTGACTGACATGCTCCATGAGTGTTTCCGGGTAGCTGTGGTGGGCCAAACATCCAAAAGGATTTCACCCGCTGTCATTCGTGCCTGTCCTGCTAAAATGGCTGACTCGCGATATGCCACAGCACACCCGGCCAGCCGCGAGGCTGCGCTCGAAGCCACACGTGAGGCTAACAAAGAAGCATGGTTGCTCCTTCACAATCGCATTTTGTTTGCATTGGCCATGCGCAATGAAGGTGAGAATCAGGCTGCTCAGGACCTCGTGGATGGACTGATGACCGAATGGACGCCGGCCTCGGCCCTGAGGTTCTACGGTCGAGAGGATCCGCTTGCAGAATACCTTAGCTTCTGCTTTTTGCCAAAGGAGTCCCACATTGAAAAGATCATGTTGCCAGAGATGCCCGTCAATGATGTAATCTGGATCTTAGTCTCTGACTCGTCATGTGCATTGATCACAGGGCGTAGGAAAACACTTAAGAAGTTTGACCTGTCCGAGCATTACCGGCAGCGCAAGCCTAAGTATGTGACTGAGTTCATCCATGAGATGCTTTGGGGCAAAACTCTGCAGAAGCTGGTCAAGCGTGGGATTGAATTGGCCGCGGACGCCCGCGAGCGCTATCCTGATGCACGCATCAACCTGCATTTGTCCTGGTTCGGAAATGAATTGGTAGGAGAGGATGGGATTGCCCAAAATCCAAATTGGCCGTACGACGGCCCCAACGGGCACTGGCCCACGATCCTGGATGATTGTGAGCGCCACTTGACATGGTTTGTCAACAAGGCCCGGGAGTTGGATTTGCAGTCGGCCGGTCTCACGACCGCGCCTTGGAGCGCAGATTATGGCATCCATCCTATCTTTGACCAGTTCTTTGATGTTTTGGAGCCCCGATTTAAAGCTCTAACCAGCAGCCTGCAAGGGCTTGCCAATCCGAAGTATCCGTGGCTGAGAGCAAAGGGGTACGCCGATGCAATGGAATTCAGAGACCAGTGGCATTTCGCCAACTCTGAAGAAAATCGCACGCGTCTTGCTGCCTATTGGACAGCTACCCTTTTCGCAATTGATTGCGGATGGCGGGTTGGCCGAATTGGTTTGGAGCTTACTCAGTGTGGCCAGGAGACATGGGATGATTTGCGGAGGAACATGAGCGCCGTCCTGGACGAGCTGCCAAGATCCTATCAGGAGACATGTGCAAACATCACCAAGTTGCTTTTTGGAGAGTCCCGAAGACACATCACGCCGACGGGCAGGTCATTCACCAAGGAGGACGTCGAAGCTCAACAACCTGACACTGAGGACTACATCGACACCAAGACGATGCCTTCGGGCACTTTTGCTGAGCCTCCCAAAGATGACCCTCCAAAGGCCGCCGGCGACGGCGAGCCCGCTGCATCCAGCAGAGCAACAATCCTGGTCCAAACGGCTGAGGTCATGTTGAAGTCGCGGCCGAAAGCAGCACCAGCACCATTGGATGAGCCCGCAGATGACAAGAGAGCCACATCCAGCCAGTACCAGCCGCAGGCAACTGCGCGCTTAGAGGGACATGCATCCGGCCACGTGAAAGCATATTGGATGGAAGAGCATTTGCCTGAATACCAATATACAATGGTGACCAATGCAGACGGGGACGATGTGCCCGGTATCCTCTTTGAAGGTACGGCGTATGAGCTGGAGCTGATATCGGCATCCGACGTTGAGACCATTGCTGGCCAGACTCGTGTCGACAAGAAATTTTCTGATTTTGCGACTCGTGTCAACAAAGTTTGCAGGGGGCATGGATCCTGTGCCAAGGTGCAATGGACAAAGACCTTTGGATTGACTTGGAGGATTTTGCCAAAGCCTTCCGCAAGGAAGTGCCCCCAGATGTTTTCATCACTGTCGCAAACCTGTTTGGCACCGCAATGAAGATCGACAAGCATGGCAAGAGTAGGTTCCAATTCTTGTGTGCAAAGATCTCCCATTTCCCTGTCGACAATGGCCTAGGCATGCCGTATTATCCTGTGAAAATCCGTGCAATTCAGGGTCACTCCGAAGCTGCCTTGAAAACCGCAGGGGGTCTTTATGCCAATTCAACCATGGTGTATTGCTCAAACCAAGTATCCCCCGAGCGAAAAGCCGCCTTCACTGGCGTGCCCTTGTGTGCCATGACTGAGGTCCCTGAGGTTGTCTTCCATCGCACGATGAGAAGCAGCTGGAAGAGCATCGCACAGAACGGCCTGATCCCAGGCGGCGGTGACACAGTCAACAGTGGCCGTGCTCATATCTACATGGCAGAACACTGTATCGGCACACAGGGGTATCGATCTGGATTAAGAGCAAAATGTCCAGTCGAAGTCAAAATCGCAATGCGGCAAGCAGTTGAAGCTGGTGTCATCTTTAGTCGCACAGAAATGGATGGTATTTTGTGTTCAGAACGCATTCCACCGCAGTTTCTGGTCAGCATCTCAGAAGAAGGACAGGTGCTTTGGTCCCGCGCCGAGAGCAATCTCGAGCCCAGCTCATGGACAGGCGCGGAATCAGCCTCAGCACCGAAATCCAAAGCGGTCACCCTGACTGCCCGAGATGATGCAAATGACGACCCAATGGATGACACCAGCACGGGGCGACCCGATGCCAAGTCCACTGATGATGATGCAGCCACTGCCCCAATGCAAGTTGACCAGCCGCCCGCAAGGACGCGCCGTGTTTACATTGCACCCAAGTACTGCGAACCTTTCATGGGCTCCTGCCCCCTCTGCCAGGTTGAGTACGTCAGTGGCCAAGTGACATGCACCACATGTGGATATGAGCCACTCCCAGTGGACGAAAGTGGCGATACAAAAGAGGCCGACAAACCCAACAGGAGGACCCGCATCCTTGAACGGCGAATGCAAAGTCTCGCCGGGTTCGGAATGTTTGGGAAAATGAGCGGAAGCTTGCTGACAGCCTTGACGGATGAGCAAGCCAATCTGCTTCGCCGGGAACTGGGCCCCAGGGGAATCACATCCGTGGAATCAGCAGTCCTCAAAGACTGCCGCGACAGGCATCGACGTGCAAAAGCGCTGGGCTACGAGGACGTGGAAGACAGATACTCCAGCGACGTCACTTTTTGCGACCGCATCCACGGTGAGGGGAAGGACCTGCAGGACTGCATATTCGACGACATGTTCGCATATGGCAACCTCCCCGATCCCCCAAGGACCAAAGCTCAGATCTCGGCTGGCGTCGCCGCCAATGCCCAAAATGAAAACTGCTTATCTAAGTTGATTTTCATGTCCCAGCCTCGAGGTGTTGATGGTTTCCCAGTTGAGTTCCGCAAAACATGGAAGAAGGTCTGGGGATTCATGTTCGGCCGCCACATTTTTACAGAGGATGAATATGTCAGCTACATCGGTCGTCGTGGCGCATTCCGTGGCCTTTTGACCTGGAAGGGCACTGTCCAAGTTCCTTTTGATGGCACTCTTGAATTCCTCGAAAAGGTGTATGAGGAAAATCTTCCATTGGTTCGGGGAAACCTTGAACGCAAAGAGAAGCAGAGCGCCGCTGCAAAGGCTGGAGGTCCTGGAGGTCATAAGGCCGACCCCACGGTCGCGCCCACCACTGAGCGAAAACGCAAAGCCGAAGCTGATGCATCCGTCACCACACATGATGACACTGCCGCCTCAAGCTCTGCTCGCGCAGATGCCTCGCACGCTGATGCCCCAGTTGACCCCAACAATGCACCATTTCTTGCACCCGAACCACCAACATCCAAAGCAGGAGCGCGACCCTTCTTGGAGCCTGAGACACCGCCCACTGCAAAAGCAGCAAGCACAGGAGTCACATCAAAGGCTGCAAGCTCCGGTCGCCCGGATGCCTCCTGGAGTTGGAATCGTGATCACTATGGTGCACGCCGAGAATGGAGTTTCTGGCGTGGGGCTTGGTATTACCGTGACGAGGCCGGCGGCCGGTGGATCTATTGGAACCGCAGGTAGACGATGATTTTCTTTTGTAGCATAGCGCAAGATGCGGCATGGTAATGTGCCTTCCTTGCAAAGCTGCGCTGGGTTTTACGGGCTTGAGCTTTTTAAAGGGACCTTTGAAAGACTGCATAAAAATGATCAAAACCAACTAAAGAAATTTGGCTACCCGCGAGGGTATGCTTTTCTGGGTTATTCGTTCTCCGCAGTCGTCCCTGCTCGCCCGAGGGGGGTGTAAAAACTCCTGCAGTAAAACCATGTAGTGTATACATCATCGATCTACTCTGTAGCGTTGGTTCAAAAGTATCAGCAGCTTAGCGGATTTTACCCCATTGTCGGTTGACCTGGTAAAATACAGGATGTCTTACAAGTATTGTTGGAGCACAAGGAAGGGCTGGTTTTGCAAGAATGCTTGATGGTTCCAAATGCACGGCTCCAGATGCCCTCCACAACTGTCAAATCACATCCATAGAAGCATCAAAAAACTGTAAATGACTGCAATGGGCGTCAGGTGATCTCACTCAGAATCCCCAAATGCAGATGCTCTTGAGGCGGCCTGCGAGAAGCTCGAATCGGAGAACGAAAAATTGGAACAAGAGCTACAAGCAGGCCACTAGTATTTACCCAAGAGTAGTCTTGTTCCGTTTCCAGATGTTTCCAGTATTCTTCATGCATCTCAACAAGAAATGGTTTTGGCAAAACAACTCTGTTCGCAGCCCTTGGTGGCTGTTGCATGATTGTGCCAGGACAAGCTGATCTCAACAGTGTCCGAGATGTTGTGACCTGAGGGACCCAAAGGATATCAAAGGATAATATCATCGCATCATACTAAGCACACCCCAGAAACCATGGTCCAACGGTTCAATATAGAGATTACACATGTTTGGGAGCATTTAAAATTATTCAGTGGGTGTTTAATGTTAGGGGTATGGGCTTACTATGACATACTATGACCATATATTACTGTCCTCGATCTTGATGTTCTGGCAAGATGGATAATACGGAAACGGCTTGACAAACAGCTGATGCTGAGTTTGGTGATTTCACTCCCAAGGTTCCTCAAGCTGGGCCTAGTCGTTCGGTGCAGAGGCTGGCTGCAGCCAGCACTTGGTCAGCCAAAGCCGCTGAATTCTCTGTTTGGTGTGACATCAATCTGTTGTTCTCATGTTTTTGATCCCTACAACTTGCAAGTTCTAATGTCATCTAATGTCTACTGTATGGAAAGAGTCCTGCAACATGTTGACACTCTGCCACCTAGCTAAAACACCCACAGCAAGTATTTGACGTGTGTTGTGACAACCGAGTAGTTCCTCTCAAGCGCGGCTGCAAAGCAGCCTTGCGTTTTTCGGGGCGCATACACTGGAAGTGCCAAAGATTGCACTGTCAAAGTGGATATGATGAGAAGAACGCATTCAAGACATTTCAAGACGACCATACATCATCAACATCATTTTGTTCAAAAGACACCATCATGCCATCCCTGTCAAGTAGAATTTAACCGCATTTTTGTTTGCCTTCAACTCATCCTAGGAAAGTTCTTCCCTGCTTTTTCCTGCGGTCATTGTAGCATCCTGTGGTTCAATCCCTGTGTGACGGTCATGACGAGTTCCATGCCGTTGCCAACTCCAACCGCAAATGGTGCCCAGGCATGGGGCAAACTGACAGCTGCCAGCCACTAGCGATCCGTTGCTGTTGATCGCTAGGTCGTAGCGGCTACGACCCCGGAGATAGCGGAAACATTAACATACAGGCCACCTATGTGAAAATCTGAGCTATGTGAAGTTCAGTCGTGCCGTGATGACTTTGATGTTTGCATGCACATCTAGACCACAAGACTGCTTCAATTTGACGCAAGCTTCCAACATGCCAGGCGAAAGAATGGAGAGATAAGGCGCAGAAAAGCATTTTGCTTCTCTTGTCAATGCGTGTCTCGCAAGTCCACAATCCTTGTCTCTAATGCAGAGTCCTCACACGTCCTTGGGATGCGCGACTTGGTTTGCTTCCGAAAGTTTCGCTGACACACTGTGAGGATACCCATCACAGCCATCAAGAACCGAGCCAGGGCCCTGGAAGATCCTGGAAGATCCTGGAAGTTGATTTGCAACGAGTCCATGGGACTGCAGCATGCAGTGCATGATGCAACATGCATAAGATGACTACAACATGCTGGAGCAACAAGGCCCGACCGCCCCCAGAAGCGTCTCGGAAACGGAAGATGGAAATGGACCAAGGGTTTGTCGAGGCGGCTCTGATTGTGATTTGGACTCTTTTTCATCCCATCTCCGTTCAATCAAACGACTCATGGCAATGATATGCAAGGACAATTGACAGCTTGATTTCTGGCAGTGGTGAATTGGAGGCAGAGTTCCAAATAGGAGAACACCCTTTGGGTCTGGTAGCCTGTCACTCAGCCTTTGCGGATATGGATTCCTTTGCTGCCTTGGTTGCAGATCGTTCAGTCTTGCCGAGGTTGATTGGTCAATGGCTTTACCCGTGGTATCCGGTGTTCTTCCAGGCCCCGTTGTTTCGCTATTGGCAATTTTTTGAGATATGGGTATGAGTCAAAACGGATACTACCAGGTTACTATATTCGGAGCATCCATTTACTAGATTTTACTAGCTATTTTGATGTTCACCAGGGCTACAGGTACTACAGGCATCATTCATTTGCAAGCTGCCAGACAGGATGGCAAGGTTGGTGATAGTTGATGGTTGGTGCCCCTGGCCAGGTACCCATGCTTCGGTGCAAGAGGACTTACGACCTGGACTGGTTTTGCTGGCCATCAACGAGATTCCGTTGGTCATTGGCGTCAGCCGCTATGAAGCCAGGAACTCGATTGTCGAATGCCCCACAAAGGCAATGTCTTCACAATCCCCTTACAATAAGACGATATGAGACGTAATTTCTTGACCTGGACCCGTTGTTTTCTCCACCATGCCAAGTCCTTCAGGTTGAACGGATATTGACTTTGAGACCGCTGCTGCAGCCCTATGACTCACCCAGACAGAGCTGGATTTTGAGCATCGAATGCACAGTGCTGGAATGGATGCCCTTACGTTACCGTTATTTCATGTTATTTCCAGCCACATTCTTGTTTGCGCAAAGATCTTTGCACAAAGGTCGCTACTTTTTGAGGTGTGGGTCGTGTGGGGTGCTGTTTCATTTGTTATGATCTTGATCGAAAGGGACTGCCCTGCAGGCTCCAACCAAAGTTTTGGTGGGACCTCCCCCTTGCCGAGATGCATTGCCATTTCTGGCCATTGCCAATGACTTGCCTTTCGGAGAGTTGGATTGTTGATTTTCTGTGGAGACGGCCTTTTCTCGTTTCTTGGTCACATTCTTTGGCCCAAGCTCGTCGAACGGAGCTGTGGAAAGAATAGCAATTGCATTTGCTCCAGATGCCTTGACCTAAACAGACACTCTGTGAAGAAATGCACTATGAAGATCTATGCAGAATTGAAATGGATTAAGTCTAGGAAAGGATGTGACGCCTTTAGCATGGAAGGGAGTTCTGCTACCAAAGTTAGACGTGTTGGGAAGCTCAGGCTGCAGTTACCAAGTTTGAAAGATGTGAAAGCATCCTCCAAATTCCGAGTTTGCCAAAAGCTAGGCAGATTCCTTCAATGCTCGGAGGTGCTCCATCCCCTTTCCAAAGTTGAGTCTTTTGCTGGCACCCGGAAGCAATCCTTTGGACAAAGTTGGACAGGGCGCGCTTTGGAGCCAGACACATCGCTGCAGTAGTGGTACAATACCTAGAGCTGCAATCTGCAGTTAACTTCTGCAGAGACTTTACAGAAGTGGTCCACCAAGGCTGTGGCTGCAACAGCATATCTACTGTCTACAGGAGATGTTGACTTCGTTGCAGGAACGGAGGCTCCATCATCCGAAATGATCAGAAGATATCAGAAGTAAACTTCCGGAAACTGAGCACACGCCAGGTAAGACCTCTTCGCTGCGAGAGGATGCGGTTTCTCCTTACTCTCCATATTTTCATTGTGAATTCGGTGTCAACGATCAATATTTTTTCCCAGGATTCTGTGCAGAGCTGTGAAGCTGAAAATTAGCTTGGCCACAGACTCAGCGAACTCAGCGATCATCTTGTCGGATCGACACTGCGCGCTGAAAGGAGCTCAAGATCATAGCAACGCCAAAAATGATATGATATCTATGTGATGTATATATATACCCATGCATCGAGTTTGGCAGGCTTGGGTGTGCATGTATCATCTTTAAGTGTTCAATGAATGCTATCATTTTGGCTCAAGTAAACTTGAACCAAAATAGCATTCATTTGCTGTTTCTTTCTCGGTCGTTGTAAGGGGCGACCTTACTTGACCTTGATTGGTTGGTTCAAACTCAACACAAGGGGTGACCTTGTATGCAGCGCAAACTCCCAGGCATTGATATTCCAGCAGCCACTGAGGCGAAGATCCTGCATGCGGCTGCGTTTCTGGAATTCAAGAACCACGTGGAGAGGCTGGCAAGGGAGGGCTTGGGCCCGGCAGCATACACATGCTGGATGCATGGTATCGAGGTGTTGCACTCCCCCTATGTCATCACTACTGGAACGGATTCAGAGATGTTTCCCCCCTTGCCGAAAGTGCCCTGCTGCCTTGATGGATGTCCACGTTGCGCAGCTCATGTGGGTGGGTTCAAGTTCCCGTGGCTTGGCTTGTGGAATAGCCGGGGAGTTGTGCTGCCTGATGATGTGGCGCCTGCGGATGCTTGGGAGTACTACTACCAGCACCAAGAACCCATGGATCTCCTGCTGGTCTCGGCATACACGAATTTCAAGGTGGCCGATGACGTGGTGCCCCAAGAGCTCTATGGACTCCAGCTCAGATGTTCAGCGGGTGACGCTGGGCAACTGGGTCTGGGCGAGCTTTTCGAGCAATGGAGGACCTGGCTTCGATGTGTGGGCCCGCACGAGCTCCTGCCCATCTTCCTCGAGCCGCGTCACTTCCCCAGAGCCCCCAGGGGGCGACCCTGGCCGGCATGGGGGAGAGAGGGCGCCAGGGCTCATCGAGCTCTTTGTGGATGGCTGGAAAGCCAAGAGGCCAGAGTCCAGCATCTGGGGACAGCATGCACGGAGTGTGGCGACCCCACCAGGCGCGTGTGTTGGGCCTGCTGCGTTGGCATGTGTAGTGACTGCTATACATGGAGGCAGCCATGCACAGTTTGTGGAGGCCGTAAGAAGATGTTCGCTGAAGGTTGATGCTATGACAGAGGAGGCACCTCTGGAGTCACCGCAGCATCTTTTTGCTCTCCGCACCTTAGCAATTTTGTTAGGGTGCAGTGCCATGGCATCAGGCGGAAAAGGCTACTACGCAGCTCAGGCGGCAGCCTCATCTTCGTCAGGGGGTGACCCTGCACCAGGATGGAGGGCGGCCGACTCTTTGATGATGATCGCTGCTCAGAGGGCTCGTCAATGGAGGGAGAATGAAGGCCTTCTGGATGACAATGACTTTGCCTATGCCTACACAGACTACGATCAAGTCGTTGGACTCGCTGGCCATCATGTCGCTGATGACTGGTTGCAGACGCGAGCAAGGGTCGAAGAAACCCTCCTTGCCGCTGGAGCCAAAGTCGTGGAGGACCACCCCAAGGGTTCCGTCACTCTGCGCCCAGTGCGCAAGACGATCTACAAGAAGAAGCCCAGAGCCATCAACGTCGACAAAAACCTGAGTGAAGCCGTCCAGAAGAGGGTGAACGGCGTGGTTTCAATGTTTGTTGGCATGGGCGCTTACAAGCCAGCAGGCATCTTGACCGACACCCTCAAAGCTGAATGGAAGCAGACGTGCAGGAGGATCGCTGAAAAGAAGGTGAAGGACGCTGAGAAGGCCACCATTGACAGAGTGGTCAACACCTGGTTGGAGCTGAGGACCTTCTTGGAGAGCCGGGGGCGACCCGCTCCTCCCGGAATGGTCGACCTTGACCAGTTCCTGAACCACACAGCGGCACCAGCACGGGCACTCCAGGCTTTGAAGTGGATGAACAAGAATGCCGACCAAGACCTTGAGCTGGGCAATCTGCAAGTTCCCACAACACCCAGGGCGACTGGGCAGCGTGGGCAGGCTCCTGTGGTCGAGCCACCTTTGGTGCAGGCCTTGGAGGACCGCATCATGGAACTGCATGCGGTAGGCGATGAAAGGTGGTCAGTCCTCCTGGCCCCTTGGGTCATGGCGTTTGGCTGTTTGAGGTATGCGCATATATCTCGATCAGAACCTCGACGCCTTACCGCGGCATTCCTCCATTGCAGGTGCCCCAAAGGCAAACAAAGGCATGCTCGTGAGGGATTCGACTTTGCAGTGCCGGCAACCTTTGCGAATGGGTTCTTTTGGGCCAAGGAGGTGTTGGAGGCCTACAGAACACTGGCACCGGCAAGGCAGAGGCTGGCAGGTCTTTGTTTTTCGGACGAAGGACGCCCTTGGACGATCCTGGAAGTCCAAGAAACGATGCAACAGGAAATGTCTGTGTTCCTCGACAATCCTGAAGACCTGACCACCTACAGTTGGAGAAGGTTGGCACCCACTGTGGCCCAATTGTTGGAATGCAAGCCTGAAGAAATGGCCGCCCTGGGCGACTGGCAAGCCAAGGGCGAGGTGCCAGAGGTGGGTGCGATGGCTTTTCACTATTCGTCGGCCAAATACGCCGCGTCGATCAAGGTGAAGTCACTGATCTGGGGTGCGACAGCAAAGCTGACTAGCAACCTGCTGTGGGAGGCGATCCCGCAGTCAGAGCTAGATGCAGCCCGCGCCCACGCCAACACAGGTTAAACAGCTGTATAAATCAATCTCGTGGAACACCTTATAAATCGAGCATTTTCAGTGGGCTTGGGTGCTATTGCTTTCAAGATTAATCCTTCAATGATTTGCAGGGCCCATGCAAGGTTTTAGTACATGCATCTTGAATAAACATGCAGCAGGTATAGGCTTTCACCTCCCCTCAGCCATTTCGTGATGTTCTGGAACTGGCTTGCATAGGAACCGGCTTTGCTTTAATGATGAAATGCGGAGTGCGCAAAGAAACAATGTGCAGGAGGCATGGGTTTCCAACATCCATCACATAATTGAACTGGCTTGCGCACCTTTGCTCTTATGATTTGAATCCGCAGTGTACACCGCCGTGCAGTAACAATGTACAGGATCGGTTTTCAACATCCATCACATATTTGACCGGCTTGCGCAGCTTTGCTCTTATGATTTGAATCCGCAGTGTACACAGCCGTGCAGTAACAATGTGCAGGAGGTATGGGTTTTCAACATCCATCACATATTAGAACCGGCTTGCGCAGCTTGGGAGGTTCGCTGTGTAGCTCATACAGCGACTGTCACATACGCTGTTCGAACCACTGCAAAAAACGGTTTATGTGCCATAAATCGATTTTTGCGGGTGCACCCATTGGTCGCTGTTCAAGCAGAATTGCGCCCAATGTTCGCTCTTCTGTCGAACAGCGACTAGCCGGTGCACCCAGTTGGTCGCTGCTGAAGCATTTTTCTCCCTAGGAGCCTGAGAAATTTGGTTGGTCGCCGTATATTGTGATGACAGCGATTGTCACAGTGTTCGAGCCACCTCACACAGATCGATGCTTGTCGTATAAATCGGTTTTTGTGGGTTGCATGGGTTGGTCGCTGTAAAGTTACAATAGCGATTGACCTCAGATCGTGGGCATGGCTGTTGTGGTGTAGCACTGAGCAAAAGCTGATGTGTGTTGTGATGCACCTTTGTTTCACCATTGCTGCATTTCGCGCTGAAAACCCATGTCTCTACATCCTGCATGTTGCAATGTGTACCTGCCCGGAAACAGCATTGAGCAAAATTCCTGCAATGCAGTAGGATCAAGATCATGCTGCAGGATGGGCATTCCGATATGACAACGTTGTCAAAACATGCCC